AAAAAAAGTAATTTGAAGTTCATAGAACAGTGACTATAAGATTATTAGAAAATGCCTATTTTTCACAGAAGGATTGGTTTTTATATGACATCAAAGCCTTTTCTGGTAGGTCACAGAGGCAAGTTGGATAAGATTATGTTTTAAATTAAAACCAAATGCATCATGTAAATTCCTTACATGTGATTAAGTACTGTTTTATTTTGAACAGACATTGAAGATGTTGACATTTATACTTTTTTCTTCTATTTTATCTTATACTTATAAAATCTTAAGGATATGAGTAGTCTGTTACCTATTAGTGGGTAACTCATGTTTTTCTGATAATAAAACATTGAAAATAAATCTTTTTACAAATAATTCTAAAATATATATAAATAAAATTATTGGACAATAATCTCTAAGAACACATTACACAATAACTTCATGAATTTCATCAGGGATAAGAGGTGAAAGTTTTAAATGGGACACTTTAATAATAACATCACTTTATAGTGACTCTATTAAAAAGATATTACAAACAGTTATTAATGTAAATATTTAAAGTTATTTTAACAAATTTGTGATAGTACAGAGCTGAAAATATCGTATGTTTTATAATTCTAACCTTTACTCAAAACAAATATAAGCAATATCAAAGATTCACTACAGAACCTAGGAAAGACAAAATTTGTGTACCTTCATTTACATTTCAATTATATTTGAATTAATATGATTAGTGAAAAAGACATGATTGATTATTCCAAACAATTGGATAGTAATATATTTATATTTAGTTTTAAAACTATTTCATCTTTGTTGGAAAAAATGATTTCAAATGTAGAAATACTCAGTGATATAAACAAACTGTAAAAGAAATACCCACTGAGATAACAACTTTAGGTACCAATAGAAGGACATATGGATGAAACCATAGTAAATACAGTGAAATTTGAAGCTTGAGCCAAACTACTTCATCGATAATAACTGAGAAATAGCATAAGCAAATTGCCACAAATAATATCCTCAGTTTCCACTGCTGCCATTTCCAGTACCTTCTTCCTTTAAGGAGAATTAAAGACACTAGGAGAGGAACATATATGAGCTACATTGTAATGTGAGTTCTGCAAACTTTTCTGGACAGAGTTGAATCTGAGTGGAGTACATTTTCCAAGGAAGAAGTGAGGGTATAAATATCTAAGAAAGAATATTTAGACAACAAAGA